CTCACTCACTCACTCACTCACTCACTCACTCACTCACTCACTCACTCACTCACTCACTCACTCACTCACTCACTCAGATTTAGCTAATTCTCCTAAGAATAGAATTGAATTATAGATATGATTAGTTGTTTTTTGAAACCTCTCATTTATATCGTCAAATGAATGTTTTCAAATTAATTTGAAAACAGATCTGTTTTTATCCAGTAACATTTCAATTTGCTTACCAGGAAAGCTGTAAGATAGATTTTTTTTAACAGTACTGTATTTCCCAAACTAGTGAGAAGAAATTTTAAGTTGTTGTTCATAACCATGGCTAAAACCTTAAGGTAGGGTTCTTCAGTCTTGTTGATACTGTTGCTACAAGCATGCTTGGTGTCTTCGAATCAATGAGTTGATGTGTTCAACGTTGATTGAACGGTTGGTTGATTTGTCTCTGTAAAGTGCCTTGAGATCACATTTGTTATGAATTCTCACTATATAAATAAATAAAGAGGAACTGAATTGAATGTTTTAGGCATTTCTCTGCCTCCTGAAGTCAATAAATTAGTTCTTATCAGTCCCTTGGTTGCTGTTGTGGAAGGGAAAATAATCATTTTATTCAGGTGCTTTGGAGCAGAGACACATCTAAAACATACCGGATATTGGATCATGGGGATAAGAAATAAAGAACTCTGCCTTAAATAGTTTTGAAGTTAAAAGAAACATGCAACATATTTCTTGTAGTGTTGACATATTCCAATGTAAGGGCATTTCTTTCAAACCTTTGTTCTATTTAAATATTAACCAATTTTTGTTATTTACACATATAATCACAAGCAAGTAGGCAGAAAGTATTAATTTATGTATAATTATTACCAGATGGGATTAAGTTGACAAAATTGTAACGTTTCTACCAATAGCTTAATTTCAAATTAAACCAATGATCCTAGTTTTATTTTCTGTCTTTTAAGGCGAACCTTGGAAAATAAAAGGCTGTGTTGAATGCTTCCACAGACCAGGGGTCGACTGTTTTTCTGATAACATTTCTAAAGCTTAATCTGTTGGTATAAGACAAGTCAGTTGGAACTAGTCCTTATTCTCTTGTTTTTAATCAACTTTATGTACTGCATCAATACTGCTTGCAGCAAATCAGTCAGTGCCACCATCATACTTGACAGGTGGAAGAAATAATGTTTAAAAATCTTTTAGTGCCGCATTAATGATTAGAGTTTGGCCTATGTTCCTCGTAGCTTACATAATAATCCATTCTTCCAGCTTATTTTTTTCTTTTAACCCTTGGGAGTTTAACCCCTTTATTTAATTATTTTTTTCATATGCAGACAGCTCTGCAGAAGAGATAACAGCTTGCATGTGGTGTCTATATTCTCCAAAAACCTCCTGGATCAGCTTTTCTGATTGGTTGATGCTCCGGCATCAAAAGTTAAATTTTCTGAACGTTCAGACGTCAGAACGCCAAGTTGCGACGCTCCCAATGCTGGAACCCGCCACCAGACATCTCAACGGTGTTCCCCATAGAGTTTTCATGTAAATCAGACGCCTCGACACCAAAAGCAAGTTTGGTGTGAACGCAGCTTTAGTCTCAGCCTAATCACTAAATACATCTGTGCCAGGAAGCTAACCAATGTAAATTAACGCAACCAATCCTGCCAAAAAGTTGTATATTCAGCTGAAAATAAGCCAAAACTTAGAGGGAGAGAAAGTGTTTGTGCTTATCAAAATATAAGCGGTGAATATATAGAGTTTATTTGAGCCTCAAGGTGTTTATTTGAGACGGTGTAAAGAAGAAAAGAAGCATAATTGGCTTCACACAATCGTAGCCATTATATTGGTTGAAGACTTAACTTTTGGGAGCGGTTGACACATCACTTTTATTTTCCAAGTTGCACATAAAAAGAAGGAAGATAATGCTTGGATCGTGTCTTTAATTTAAAATTAGGCTGTTGGTGGAAATGTTACAGTTTTCTCAACTAAAACTCATCATGTAATAGTATAGGAAAAATAAATATTTTCTTCCTATATGCATTTGATTATGTGGGCAAATAACAAAAATAAGCAAATATGTGATGTTAAAATGAACAAATGATGTAAATAAATGCCTTAAGACATTTAGATAACTTCAGCATAACTCGACTCCTCCGGATTCCTTTCACTCAAAGAGATTAATGATTTAGATACAGCTTCTTTTAAATTTTAATAACCATCTTTTTTATGGTTTTAAACTAAAAGTACAACTGAAGAAATATAATTAATTTCTAAATCACAGTTCTAAGCAGAGAGAGCCTTTGATTTCTTTACCAGATATGTTACAAACCCTTTGGGTTCAATTTCACTAATATTTACTATAAAGAGGAAGACATTAGTTTAAAAAAAGACATTGAGGTGGAAGTACTGACGCAGGCTGCATATTTTTAGTGCAATGAAGCCTGGTTGCTGAAAGCACAAAAAACCCCAAATAAACAAGGCTCATGTCCAAATGTATAGAGATCAAAGTTAAAGTCGCACTTAGAGATTTTACTCGATTGATATTCTTTCTTGACATAATGTAAACCAGAGAATATGGAGGCTTTCTGGCCTTAAATTATGACACAACAGAGTTTATTCCAAACATCTTAACAGAGCATAGATTTACTCCAAGAAGGAATGTGTACTAACTAATATATAGACAGAAAAAGATGAGCACTCAAGGACTAAAGGCAGCTACCGGAGCAACTGACAGTAAACAGTGAGTGAAGGTAACTAGAAACAGAGGAATCCTAGTAGAGGGAGGAGAAAGAAGAAGAGGATAAAGAGGAGTGCTAATGTTCATTTAAAAAGGATTATTTCCACTGTATGTGTATTTTCAGTAAGTTTCTTTAAAACAGCCTGCATCTTACCATCTGATCCTTTTTTGTTGTGTCCGGACTGAGCAAAGACCATTCAATGTCAATTTCTCCTGTGTCTAATTGGCTCAGCGTGTAAGTGCAACCCAAAGTCACTCTGTCGCCCTCGGCCCTCTGGATGGTCCACAGGCCTGTCGATGTAACCTTCAGCCCTTGTGTACATCCCAGCTCTGTGCAAAATCAGACACTTTATGAAATTAGTCACATTTAAACTTCCTTTTTCTTTTTAAAGATAAACATTGTCTTGTTTCTGATTCCCTAAGCCACAGTTGGTTTCTATTTTCCATTGAGACAATATTGGGGTCAGATAATTTTAATTCAGCGGGTTTTTCCCTAGCAGAAAACTGCTAAAACAATATCACAAATAGAGAAAGAAAATTGGGTGAATATGTAGAAAAGAGATTATGAGTTATTTAGGAGTTGCAAACTGAAAATACTTCTATCAAAAAGATGATACAGAAGGAGCTTTTTGCAAAGCCACTTCTATTCATTACACTGGATCTACTCTGCCATAAGACCCTCTACAGCACAGTAATCCTCAAAACCCCTGCAAGGTCCAATGTCTTCAAAACAGTAGACAGCTGAGAGAAAAAGCAAAAAGGATCAACATTGTAGAATTAAAAAAATAAACCCTTTCTGCACCCACTCAGATGAGGCAGAGACTTTAAATCCTTGAACAATTATCTTACCAATGAAATCTAAGTGCTGATAATGGGAGTAGCTTGAATTGGACTCGGATTTGTCCTCGGGGAGAATGGAACATGGGAAAATAATTGCGCTTTTCAGGGATTTCAAGTGTTCTGTTTAGTATTTTTCTAAGAAAGCATATAATGCTTTTATTCCACTCTGTAAAAGTATGCTTCTCTCCTAACATGCATGAAATAGAGCAGCATTTAAACAAATTACTAATGTGTAGTTTGTGGATAACAGTGAGACTTTGTTGTGCTGCCAAGAGCCACACTGAACAAAACAACCCAGAGTAGAATTTTGAAAACATTAGGGAATTGCCGTCTTTCCGGAAGAGAACGTCAGACCTTGTTTGGGAAGCTGCGGCTGCTGAGGTGATGTAGGGGAAAGTCAGATTCTCTGAGGCTCGATTCTCAGCAGGGAACAGACACTAAGGTCATAGTGAATTGCTTCCTTCAATCCCACAATGTAAGATCCAATTCCGAAAGAAAAAAAAAAATCAATACCTAGAAGTGGCTTTTAAAAGTACCCACACACCTTGAGTTTTGTTTTCAGTTTACAACCAAAAATGTTTTAATAATTTGTTTGCTCTATGTGAAAGAACAACAGGAGTTTAGTCTAAGGAGGAAGGAAAAAGGAAAGATAGTTTTAATGTTTTCCAAAATGGGAAATATGCAACCCCCCTTAACTCTACTACCCCTTAAAGAACATGAGCTCCTCTTAAGAAAATGAGACCAATGTTCCAAAGTTGAACACAGTGGGGTAGTTGGTAGCACTGCTGCCGTGCAGCAAGAAGGTGCGATTCCTGGTTCCTGGAGTTTGCATGTTCTCCCAGTACATGCTGGGTTCTCTCCGGGTACTCCAGCTTCCTCTCACAGTTCAGAAACATGACTGTTAGGTTAATTGGCCTCTGTAAATTCCCCTTAGGTGTGAGTGTGTGTGTGTGCATATGTGTGCATATGTGAGTGTGTCTCTGTGTTGCCCTAAAGCAGATTTGTCAGTGGTGTACTACCCTCTCCCACATACATGTAGACATAGGCACCGGCCCCACCATGACCCTGACAAGGACTAAGCAGGAGATAATGGGAAAATATTATGCATATGAGGGTGCATATGCAACCTTCTTAAATCTGCTTCCCCTGAAAGAACAAGTGCTCTTCTTTAGAAAATGAGACTGATGTTCTCAAGTTGAAAAGGTTTTTTTCTTATCTAGGTTTTAACAAAGCTAAGATTAGCTTCATCATCTTTCTAAACAAAGCTGAGGAAAGAAACCCTAGTCTGTTAGAGTCAGTGGGCCCTGATGACCCTGGTCATCAGGGCCCACTGTCCTTCCTGTTTTAGGTGTGTCTCTTCTCAAGCACACCTGATTCATATGACCATTATCTCCCCCGCAGCCATCACATGATGCAAAAGCCTGTTAATTACCTTTACATCCAGGTCATATATTTGGAGGCAGGGAACATCCTCAAACATGTGGGACAGTGAGTCATGAGGACGAGCATTAGGAAACCCTAGTTTAAACCAAGGTGTGGCCTTTTCCCCAAACTGAAAGTCCGTTCAAGAAGAACATCAATCAAAAAATTTACTAAAAATGGCCGAATGTACTGTAACTCTGGAGGAGCTGCAGTTCAGTTGGGATCACCTGTAGGCAGGACAACTATGCTGTCATTTGTAAACTCCATAAATCTGTATTTTATAGAGATATACCTAAAGAAGAGAGGCTACAGCACCACCACCATCATGATCTAGAGATTCATTTTCTCAGCAGATAATGGAAAGCTAACTGGAGTTGAAGGGAAAAAAGATGGATCTAAATACTGGATAACACTAGAAAAACAGCTGTTATGTCCCCCTACTATTAGCAGTAATTGTTTCATGGAATTTTTTATGAATAAGATTGATTATATTAAAAATAAGATCATTAGCACCCCTCTAACTACGATTGGTTTATCTCTGGAAGGTCAGGCAGCATCTGAGGTAGCCATAGTATTCTAAACCAGGTTTAGATTGGTTTGATGATGATAAAAACTATTGTCTTCATCTAGGTCTTCATCTTCTATGTTAGATCCAGTTCCAACCGGGTTATTTAAGGAAGTACAGTATTCCCTTTGACTCTAATGTTATTTGTACTCATACTTGTAATGAGTGCAAATTACCCCTTCCTGTATGGACGGGCTCCTTGTCCTATTTCTAAGGGAGAGCCTGGCCACTCTGTAAAGCAGCGTTCACCAACCTTTTTACATTTGAGGGCTAATTCAGGGGTACTGAGTCACAGGAAGGGCTACCAATACTGACCTATGAATTGCAAGGGTCAACGTTCACCTAAACTTCATACATCATAAACATATCTTTATCGTTTCTTTAAATTTATAATTTTCTTTTAGACATTTTTATTTTGAAATCTCTATAAATGCTTGAATGCCATATATGATTAAATTATGAAATGTTCTATAACTGATTAAAAAAAGAGAGCAACAGAATACAATGAAATTTCAAACGAAGCTCACTGTTGAGTTGTTCTATTTTCAGAAGACTCTAAGGGCACCCCTTGTGGTCCTTGAGGGCCCCTTGGTGCCTGCGGGCACCATGTTGGTGACCCCTGCTGTAAAGAGTTCATTTCAGCTGCTTGTATCCTGGGTCTGGTTCTTTTGGTCATGACTCAGATTATATGACCATGAGGGTAGAAGTATCTGGACTGGCTGGCAAACACAGCTTTGTCTTTTGGTCCAGCTCTCTTAAAAAGAGTAGTGTTATGCCCCAATTCAATTTTGACAAAGAGAAAATTATCTTTTTCAAATTAAAATCTTTGAACGGAAATTGTTAGTTATGATTTTTATGGTTCAAAATCTCTCAAAAGCCTTAAGACTGGACCAGATTTCTGCCTTCCACCACAATATCCCTGAGCATGCAGAGTAAATATGATAAGATAAAATAAATCATAATCACATGCTAGATTGTCCCATTAAGCTGCCTAGATTCAACTAAGAATCAATGGCAATGGTTTAAGAAAAACATGGTCACTGACCATGGCAGTGAAGAAGAACAATCAGCTTAGACAATCTTTGAAAAAAGGTTGAAAGTTCAAGTTAAGTGAACATTCTGTTTTAAAGCAGTATTAGTTTATACTTTGTTTTGCCTGTAGCCTTACCTGTGCTCATCAACGCTGCAGAGCATAATAATAACCACAATGGACTGCAGAGGTTGAAATATGTCCTTAAATGAGAGCGACTTTCCCTGAACATGATCATCCTGTTTAAAAGAGAACAGTTTTGAAATGTTCCACTCATTAATCACACACAACAAAAATGATGCATACAATACAATGAATAAATGTAATGAAAAACGTTGCCTGGAATGAACAAAATAAGCAATGACATACCTTCAATAGCTGAAACAAGCTACAGGGTCCAGTTGGCAGTCAGTGGACTTGAAAAGAAGTGTAGTGTTACTGCTGCATTACAACAAACACCTCTTCTATTTCTGCTTCATTAACTGAAAGCTTTCTGATTGGTTCACTGATGTTACATCATTCCCTAAACATTTAAAGAAAATGAATAAACTTTCACAAACATATTAAACCTTGCAAACAAAACTAAATTAAGTTTAAATGCAGTAGCACAAAGAAAAGTCTCTTTAAGACATAGATTTTCTCCAGCCTAAATGTCAGTCAGTGTTCTTAAATATTGTTAAATGAAAGGATCAAAAAATACACTGAGAATTTACTGTTTGCTAAATCTTTATGCCTTTCCTTATTTATGTACAGTAGGTGTTTCGCTGTATTAGCTCTATACATATGTAAATTTTGCTTTTTTTTCCTTTAATTTTACATAACTAGAACATGAATTGAAAAAAGAAACCAAAGGTGCCCTTGAACACAAAAAAAGTACCCAAACTCGCTCTTATTTCTTGGGTAAACAATACACCACATACCTGTTACTGACCTTTTATTTACCCTTTTAAACACTCAGGAGAAAAACAAAGAAAGGGTTTCAGATGACAAAAAAAGAAAAAAATAGTAAAACCTCTTTTTTTCAGGCATTTACTCAAAGCACCACAGTTCATATCCGACACAAAGGTTTCTGAAAAAGCAGAAATAATAATAATAAACTGCTGGGGTTATCTCTGTGCTGCATCTACAGAAAAAAAAATTGCCTTTATAAATCAGATATGCTGGGGAATATTTCAGAAGACACAAACACAGAAAATGGATTAGAGACAGAGGATAAGGAGCTTTATCTCAGTACCAAGCTGCATAAGAAATATAAGATACTTTTTCCAGTTACCAGCTCATGTCTTTTATAAGCTTCCGGCGATTTTTGGAAAACACTTATGTTTATTGCTACCAGCTGATAAAGTATGAAAATAAGATTCGTGTAAAAATGTTCTTAACTCTTCTCTGACCTCATACTCCTACTCGTTTTAAATTTTGAGCAATTCCTTTATTTATCTATGTAACAAAACATAAAAGATGTATTCCTGTGAGGGTTTCGCCAGAAGAAAATAATCAGCAAAAACACAAGATCTTGCCTTTGAAATGAAGTTTTTTTTATTCACATATCTGGTTATAATTTTTTTAGAACCCGGTTTTTGCTTTCAGCCTTGTTTCACTATTTGTCACTTTATGTTTCCCTTGTTCAGTTCAGTCCTTTTTGCATATTCTCTTAAATGAAAAACATGATGTAGTGAAGCAGAAAAACTGGTCCTAGCTTTAGTCACTTATAGAGTGAATAATTAATGGTTTAAATGTATTTTCTTTTAACTACCTCACATTGTCTCTCAGTAGGTTATACAATTCATTTCAAGTTGGACCTTTTAGAGGGGAGCCCTGAAATGATTCTCAGTCATCTAGGTCATAGTCATTCCAAAAAAGTAAAAAAAAAAAAAAAACCCACTGGACTCTGTTTCCAAGTTTGAAGAAATTTTGCTTCCCATCCAGGAGGCTTTTTCAATTCAAAAATATCAGAATAACTTTGAGTTCGAGGCTATATACAGGAGCCTAAAAAGCCCTTGTTTTTGTTTAGAAAACATGAAAATTGAACGGGTGCACCCCTTGGAATGGGGGTCGTTTGGCTGCTTTTGTTAGCTTGCAAAGCACCATACCTGTCTATGTCTCTTAAAGTGGTGTTGTTAAGGGAATAGTAGGCCTGGCTGAATAGGCAAGGTCTTTTTTCCCCTGTAAATGGGTTGGGGTTGCGATGACAGTGGGTAGGGCCTAGGTTTTTTTTTAAAGCTTAGTCTGAGTCCCTCCCCTTTGTTTAAGGTTAATTTTTCTTTCTTAACATAGAAGGAAGGAAGCCATCTATGAGCACAGCCCCATCCTCCCCATCATTTTCAGTCACATGGACTCCCTCTGCCTCATCATGGACCATCAAAGCCAGAAACGTGCAAAGCTTCTTTGCACACACAGCTAGCCTCAATAACAAGGCCTAGATCCAATAACGCAAAGATCTCCACACATGTTAACATGATTCATGACATGGTCTTGGTTCTGTTATGTTTTACTTTGCTCCATGTTTTCTAGTTTTATTGGTTTCATTCATTTTTTGTTGTATTTATCTGGATATATGAGATATATTCTTAGGTTTTTATTTGTTGCCCTCTTGAGTTGGTCTCCTTTTCCCTAGCTCCTTCCTTGACTGCTCTCTTCACACCTGCTCCCAATCTGCTCGTTAGCCCTCTCTTTGTTCAGTCCACCATAGCTCTCCGCTGACGTACGTCGTGCGGAGAGCTTGTCTTTCATGTAAATCAATGAGAGCTGTTCCACATCCACCGCTACTCCTCCGCACGTCTCCGTCCACGTACGTCTTCTCCATCCTTCACCGACAAAATACAGAGCCATGGTATTTTTTGCTCCGATCCGGTCCGGCCAGGTCAAGACCCGCAATTGCAATCGCACCAAACAGGAAAAAGAACATTGAGAAATTCTGGTTCGTCAAATTAAAATATAGTAGCAAAGATCAGTAACTAGAAATTATAGCATAATTCTTATATATAAAAAAAAAACTTACACCGTTTATTTACATTATTGGGTGTAAACTATTGGTTATTCACCAACGAGGAAGCAGATGCCTCATCTCAATCAAAATATTTATTTTATACCGAGGGAATTAAAGTTTAATTAAATCTAGTCAAAAGAAACTTCTTATTACAGGAATG